GAACACCACTTAAATTTCTTCTGCAGGGCATTCACAGGCCACTTGAACCAGCAGCTGTACTCTATTTCCACCAAGTGGCTTTCCACTGTTTCCAAAGCGCTGTTTATTGTTCATGGTGCAAACACATTGTGCCAACAAGTCAATTCTGATTATGTTGAGGATTATAATTATTAATAGTAAAACTAGTTGAAGAAGTAGCCTTATAATGACGGATGTTTGGCTTCCACAAGTAGATATTTCCCAGAGAGACCGGTGTGGACTGTGCAATAGATTATTTATGCATTTATTCATTCATGACTTATCCCAGATTTCCATGTAAATACAAATCAGAAGTTTTGCATGTTTTATAAATCAGATGTGGGTTTCAACAGAGAAGCTGGGATAAAAAAAGAGAAGCAGTAAAAGAAAATAGCAGAGGAGGGTATACATATCAGACTTATATATATTCTCTACCAGGCATGCCATCAGCCCTTCTGGTTTTTAAACAGAAGATCTTATTACACACCTTCTCTTTTGGGACATATAGTAGTGTCGTAATAGTTACCACACTACTCTAATGATCTGTAAACAACGATTCATGGCAACGGAACACCAACATCCAAAATCCAATACTGTAAAAAGCATGCAGACTAAAAAAAACCTTTAGTTATGATATATTGATGCAGCGCTCCCGTTTATTGTTATGAAACTGTAACTAGGCCTACATATCGTAATAGCCTCCCTTGTATGTAGCCGACGCAAACACTAAAGCACTTTGATCCAGCGCTGTATTTTCGGTCGAGCCGCTGTATATCCAACTCCTTTGAAGAGAAACAGGCAACAACATGTACAAGTAATACAAAACACTCTCTCCAGCACCTTTCTTCCAATCTATTTTGGTTGGTTTGAAATCATAGGCCTTTCCCCATACAAACAGCACATTTTCAAAATACTGCTACATTGTTGTCGTGGTTTCTGTTGAAAGCACTGCAATAACAAAGCCACAGAAAGCTATATGAAGTGGTATTTGTGACAAATAATACCCCAGAACAACCTCAACTGTCTGAGACTGAACTGCAGAAACAGAGGGCTGATCCCTAACACAAACACATCAAAATCTCCTTCTAGTCAAAAGGCAGTGTGGTACAAGTAGGTGAGAGACACAGTCCAAATGTACCCATAAGAACTTAATAAATGTCACCGACTCCCAGCAGTACGGGAGACAAAAGAGGAGCAACAGCTAACCACATCCAAGATGAAGCAGCCCAGCGTACCTCCGGTTCCGTTCACTAACAAGAAAGAATGAGGCGCTAAGAAGACGCCTTTTTCGCATCATTATTACATAATCAAAGCGCCACACCAAAATGAGGGACATGCCTGGGGAGAACCCGTCCCTCATTAAAGGAGTTCAGTGCACCGTCGTCTACTCCAAATGAGGCAATTTCAGAGTGTTTTACAGGCTATCAGGGATATCTTTATCCACAGATTTCTCAACTGCTGCTGGTGTTTCATTGAGATAGCCGATTTTTTTACCGGTGTATGACGCCATTGCTGTGGTCGCCTTTGCCATGCATTTCTAATATGACTGCCCTGCCTACTCATGGAGCTTAGAATTGAGTTACTGGCCAAGAGGGAAATAAATTATGACCAAAATATCAATTTCAATTCCCTTTACACTGCATTTTTTTTCTAAACTGATGATTAAGCTATTCATACCACATGCACATATACATACAAAGCTAAAAAGCCAAGCATTTTCTTTCCAATAGGCTTTCCTTGACTGCTTTTCCTGATTAAAACAACATAAAGAGTGTCATTTCCCTCAGCGCTCAGTGAAATGAATCAAAACGTCCCTGAGGACAACACCTTTATATCCCCCCGTACAGGAAATAATCTCACATTTTCAGAGCTGATACGATTCAGAGAGCAACACCCAGTGCAGTCTGGCTTGGTCATGGATGCACACCAAAAGAGCAGTTTTACCTCATTAAACAACAGACTTTTTAATTTCTGAGGGAGCAATCAAACACTTTTGTGTGGTTAGAAGTCTCTTGATTGACTCCAACCACTTTAAAAGAATACAAAGTGGAATGAGAGATATATTTTTTACTAGTATAAGTTGTAAAAAAAAAAAAAACTGCTGCTGGTGACACTTCAAAGGAGAAGATAACTGTTTCAACTTTAACAATATTGTGCAATATCAAACAATTAAATTCAATACATAATTTGCCTTTCTGATGTCTTTTACACTCTTGACTGATTCAAATCAGTGATTTTCTACATTTCCAAGAATGACTTTCAGTGAACCACAGAATAAAAATGTGCTTGAACATAGCCATGCTAAAACAAGAGGTTTTCTGGTCAAATAAAAGTAAGTTTCACCTCTTGTGTAAAAATGTCCTGTGGCTACATTACATCATATCTATTGAGAAACAAGTAATTCTGTCTATCTATCTCCTGTATCAACAAGTCCTCCAAATCAAATATCAAAACATGTTGTTTGTCCATGCCCCCTACAGCGACACGTCTTCTGATCTGACACCACCATCAGCAGTTACAAATCGCTGTTGGAATAAAAATAGAAGCATTTTTTTTTTTTATTGTCTGACAACAAGATTTGGTTATGTTTAGGCACAAAAACAACTCGGTTAGGCTCAGGGAAAGATCATGGCTTGGGTTTAAAATGACTACTCTGAGGATCGCCGTTGTCATGGTTACAGCAATAAACACACAGTTAAGGTTAGGGAACGATCATGGTCGCGCTTTAGAAAAACAACACCGACCGTTCGGTTGGAAAAACAGTGGCCTTTCGATGTTTTGTTTATCCATCCGTCCACCTCCATTGTTTTATGGAACTTACTGAAACGACTGATGCTGTCACTCTTCTCGATAGGATGAACCCCTCTGTGCTATTAACTGAGGCTTTGGCGCAACATGGCAACCCAACTAATGTCAGAAATGTTATACAAATAAACTGCGCCACAGTTGTTGCATTGAATGTTTCTACATTTACCCAACAAATACCCAGTGGAATAAAAAAATGAATGGCATTAAGGGGTTTAGTGTTTAAGGGTAGACAGTTCTATTAAAGGTTGACCGCTGAGACGCAAACAAAGATTTAATTTTCTGTGTAAATTGAATTTCTGACAATTCAATCAGGACTTTATAATTAATCATATAATAACTGATAATGATTTTGCTCTCACCCATAAATTACTGGTGCAATGCTGATTTTTCGAGCGCATACTTTCAGTGTCAGACTTGATTCAAAGATTTGAGGCATGTTTTATTCATGCAGTACATTTCTTAAATGCAGTGTGAAAACGAAGGCTGTCTTTTGTCAACTTAAGTTTCAGAGAAAGCTTTGGGCCCCATTTGCTTCAGCGGAATCTTTTTGTTTTTGACCTTTAGCCTGTCAGTGAGTGTGACAGGAGGGACTGCGTTGGCTCGGACTGTGGAAAACAAGGCCTTGTCACTACTCCCCCCCACCCCCACACCCCCCGAGAAGAGAGTGATAAGCACTGAAAGACAAAAAGTTTAGGGCTGGACAACTAAAAAAGAAAAACATCATGATCTCATAATGGAAAACCGCCACACTGTGAACTCACAGTTGTGTGTCAGGAGTAAGGGAGCAGGAGAGAAGCAAAACTAGCGCATGTCATTGATGTGATGAGAGAACGCTTTGAGGATGACTGTCTTTTATCTACGCCGAGCTGAGCTGACAACCAAGAACTTGAATAAAAAAAAATAAAAAAAAGTACAGCGAGACAGCAGCCATCTCCAGCCTCATACAAAAACCATGAGTACTGGAACCCAAATCTTACCAGTGTGCAGACCTATTTTCTGATAAATGCTTTATCACAGCAGTTCTCTGGATGCTATAAAAGGGATAGCTTGTTATTGTAAGAGTGTGTGTGTGTGTGTGTGTGTGTGTGTGTGTGTGTGTGTGTGTGTGTGTAAACTATGCCCTGAAAATGTCATTTTTTCCGTGACAGTTTTGCTATTTTACAAATCTGCACCCTGTTTAATCCTAACCACATAACTGAGAGACATAAAACATCTGAAACAACTGCCAAGGTTTTCTCTCATCTCATACCATTCCCCATCCAAAGCAGACTTCGTTTCCACCATATAAAGTGCTGAATGGTGATCATAGGGAAATAAGCATTTTCCCCTTCCAAACAACAGGCATTACACAGATTAACAGCCTTTGTTGAAACATACTATTACCACATAAGTCCCTGTCGAGAAGGACCAGATGTCAGATAATAGGCTGTGCAGAGTGAGGTAGGTGCTGGCCTGAAGCCATTGAACAAGTAAGAACAGCTTCTTCCATATAAACCTCTTCACTTTATGGACAGCTGGGTGGGCAACCCCCTTATACCTTGAGACTGTATGTGTTAAATATAGCTTACACACAGAGGATACGTGTAAGTATCCCCTATGTGTAACCTACAGTATATTCACCATACAAGGTAACTATATATATATTTGTGTACAAATGAATACACAATAACCTTAATATCCATTTAAATAGTTAGATACAGCAAAGCCACTGTTTTTAAAACCATCTGTACATTTTGTGGTAGCCTCCCCGGTCTTTAAAGGTTGTGTATGAATCACTATCACCAATAAATCATGTCATTTAAAGAGAAAAACACACAACAATGTGTTGCACAGTCCCAATATGAAAGTCATATAAAAAATAAAGTACACATGTTGCAGTTTGCTGACAAAAAACAAACAAAAAATGCTTGTTATTGTGTACAAAGGACCAGCTAAGTCTATCTCATTAAACACTGCTGGGGGTGTTTATTGGCTTAGCTGGCTGGCTGGGCTTTGCCTTTGAGCAGCGGTAAGATATAGGCATTAGCCTATAGGTTATAGATTGGCTGCTGCAAGAGCCTGACGCCTCTAACACACACATTTCATTAAAGGGCAATTAAATAAACTTTAACATGCAAATTAGGCGCAGCAGAGAAACAGCAGAAAGTGGGAATAAAAAAAAAAGGACAGATTACCTTTTCTAGACTTCAACCTTTGTTTTTTCTGGTCAGCTTTGGCATCACATCCGTGCCTCCTCCTCTGCTGCTGCTGCTGCTGCTCCGGTACCGTGTCTGCTGCTCCGGTACCGTGTCTGCTGCAGCGCTCCGTGCGGCTCCTCAATCCAAATTACCCCAACCAGTCTGCACGTTTCCAACCGCTCCGAAATAGCTTGAGCGAGTGACTCTGGAAATAACTGCACCGATCAAAGCCGCTACATGCAGTCCAAACGCAGAAGGCAGTCACAGTAGCGACACCCATGGGTGTACGCGGCGCAAGCTCGGTCTGCAGCAGGTAGCAGTGCCCGGACTGACAGCCACTTCTCGGCCACCTAATGTGCCAAGCGTCGGAGCCATTCACAACTAAAGTCATGCGTGTGTGTGCGTGTGTCTATGTGTGTGTGTGTGAGTGTGTGTGTGAGTGTGTGTGTGTGTATGTGTGTGTGTGGTGCAGTCAGAGCCAGTCCGTGCCCAGTGCCACGCAGCGCCGCAACATGGAGCGCTGACCTGCCTATCACTGGGTCAAGTCGGTTAAAATCTATCAAATGTGATACTTCCGGTGCTGACTTTCAAAATAAAAACCTCAACAGTTGCAGCATCTACGACGCGTGCTGCAAACCGCACCACCTAAAAACAAAATAGACCCCGAAAATACACATTAACGTAAATTAAATATATAGTTTTTTATTTATTACGTTTTTATAACCATTACTGCCGTATTTCCGGTATTACTCGGGTTTTCTCTTGCCGGCTTGACGGAGCTGAAATCCCCTGCGAACAGACGGGAGCACAGGAACAAACATACAGTGGGGGTGGGAGGCAGGCTTAATGAATTATTTATGACGAAAGAAGGCACTAATACCTAAATCATTCATAATTATTCAAGAGAAACAAGGTCGATGCCAATCAAACTTCAATTCCTCTCCCCCTGCAGATCATGCCATTTGACATTTCAAATGATAGATGGAGAAGAGGTTGTCCAGTGTCAGACATTATCCTGACCTCTTCCTCAATCAGTCAATAAAATTACAGGCCCATCAGCCAGAATTACAATCAGGGAGGCTGTATAGAGTAAAACTACCTATACACAGTGCTTGTTTGTGGCGTATGAGCTAAATGGCTGACATTTAAATTGATGCTCTACATCAGTTTAATGTATCATAATTAAAGTAATACATATTGTTTGCTGAAATATTTAAGTACAATTAGGATGTTTTGAGAATACCTGACATTGATTATATTTGTGGTTGTTAATAATATTAATATAATGACTGGTGGTCAGAGTTTAAATACTTTTTTATTTTTATTTACCACCACATTTAGCGCTGATTCGTATTGATTATTCAGTGAATGATAATGCGATTATCTGTAATCCACTTATTCTCTTATTCACAACCCTATTCAGATATGCACTTAAGAGGTTGAACCCCTCGCTGCAGTCGCCCTCATAAAGTGATTTGGGGTCACTTTATGAGATTTTTTCTGCACAAGTTTACACAGCACAGCCTTCTTTCTCAGTTTGCATTGAGTATACGTAAGAAGCACCTCTGCTTTTTAGAGCTTCTCCTACATCCTGTCAAGAAACTGCATAAAAAATCTGCTGGACCTACAGTTTTTGTGACCTCTGAAGTGTGAGAGTCGGTATGTTAAAACAGTGGCAGCAGGAAACAATCAGCTAAATCTTCTTTTTTTTAACAATTCTCTTTCAAGCCTTCCAGGTAGCTTTGGTGTTTACCTTGTAATATATGTGTATTTTATTCTTCAGTGCTCACTTATCATTGCAATAATGGCAGGTTTTTCAATTATTATTCTGCTAATAGGAGGAAGCATAGAAGCATAAACCCTAGTTAAATAAAGAAGGCAATCCTTTGCTACCACATTTGTTACATGCCAGGATTAAGTCATGCCAACATCATACATTTCAGCTTTTAAGTGATGTAACTAAATATATCCTTCAGTTGGCAGATACAACAATCCCACCAAAGGGCATATTTGTACTTTAAAGGTTCCCTCTCTGCAAATGGTAATGAGAAATACCCGAGGGAAGCCCTGGAAACTGGCTTTGGTGCAGGGTTTCTACTAGTGTGAGTGTGATGGACGAGGCAGTCAAAGATGGCCAAGTGGTTGAGCCCCCCCCAACCTCTGGAAACACACATGCCTCCACTGGCATTGAATCAAATCCAGAGCTTTCTCTGTGTCTGTCTCCTACCCTCCCCTCTCTGTCTGAATATAAAGAATGAAACCAGTAAAGGTGAGCGTGCAGCCCACTCTTTAACAGACTGCAAGGGGAGGTGAGATTAATGAGGCCTAACGCGAGATTGTGGGGAGATCAGCAGAGTCGTAGGGAGCAAAAGAAGTAAGAGAGTGACTCAAGGAAGCCTGGCCCTGGATCTTCTGCTAATCTACTGAAGCTCGGGCTCCTATAGCACCGCTCTGTGTGTGATGGCAGGTAGCAATGTCAGACCGAAAGATGTCTATGCTTTTATCAGTTATGTGTGGTGAAGAGGGAGCGGAGATCCAGACAGAAGTTTGTGTTGCTCAGTATCTTAAAATGTGAACAGAAATGAAATAAAAGTAACCCACAGAGGTAGACATAGATTCCTTTAGTAACAAGTGAGGCTGTTCTGCAGATTCGGATTAATAGTAGGCCTACAAAACATAATCAGAGGATAAATGGTGATGTATAGTTATCGATTAAGATAAGACTTTATTGATCCTGTGGGGGAAATTCACGCAGCAACAACCCTGCAGTAAGTGATCCCAATTAGCCCCACCTTTAGGAGCTGCAACATCAAAGTGATGTGTATGCATTCATTCAATTAATCAATACTTATAATCCAATAATATATCAGCCTGATAGGCTATGGGCCATTCTGCAAAATGAGTATTTTTATTTAAATATAAAAATGAAATGCAGGACTTTTGCTTGTATTTTTACTTTAGTTACTGTAACATTATTTTAAATCCTTTGTGTGTTTAATTAATCAAAACACGACGGAAAAAAAGCCATTATCATAGCATAATAATAACAACAGAAAACGAAAGGCTACGAGTCGATAACAACAGTAAGCATAGCAACAGTTGCTAGGGAGAGACAGGGCAGATCCCTAAAGAGTTTGCTCATTTGCAAAGTCAGCTATATGAATATAAACGGAAATTCCCCCAGGACTTTATTTCCCAGAATGATAATACTAATAAAAATACGCGACAAATCGTTACATTCATGTTTAACATGATGCACAAACTCCCGAGAAGTTGTTTCCAGTCGAAACTGTCTCCATGGAAACGCGTCATTTGGACAGAAAAACAGGAGGGGGTTGAGGGGGTCAACTTCACCCATCATCCTATAACTGCCTTCATCTTTCACATCGATCCGTCTAAAGAGTGAGTCAGAGGTGTTAAACTTGTGTTAAATATTGATGCATTTTTATAGGCTATACTGAATTATTAATAAAATGAATGATTGATCATATCTGCAACCGGTAGGAAAGGTAGTGTGAGATTTTTCTGTAAACAAATGAACTAACGTTAATTAGAGTCACTCTCTTTAGCTGTTTTACAATTGTTATTTTAACCCAGAAATTTAAAGCTGTCTCTTAAAGGTGTCCAGCTGTTGGTAAGGACCCATAGATTCATGTAATTGTATCTGAATTGATCTTAATAGGGATTTTTCATTAGCAAATGTTGGATTTTTTCCCAAAGATTACTGTGAACAATACCCAGGTTTACTATTTTCATCTAAGTTACACAATTCAATCATATAATTGCATTTTTTAACATTTGAAATTAATTCTGCTGTTATACTTTATATATTTGTGTTTTCCTGTCCTGTTTTCTAATGTTTAACACTAACATTATGAAAGATGTAAAATTGAAAGTACATTTTGGTGGAAAAAAAAAAATCTTTCCTCACATAACTCTTCAAAGCAGCCTCCCACGCACAGTCAATACACCTGACAGTGGATACAGGTGTTACACCTTGCTGCAGTCTTGCTTTCACCAGGATTATTTCACACCTGAGCCTGCAAATGTTATTCCACGTCAGCTAGCTGCCATCTGTTACGCTGTAATTATCTCCTAGACACTGTAAATGACCTTGTGTTTCAGCATTTTACCTCAAAAGTAAGAGCGACAGGGTGCTGAAAACCTCAGCAGCGCTGAATATGTTTGGGGTGAGAAGGAAACAACAAGATTTGGACCATCAGGTACTGAAAGTTGCAAGATTTAACAGATTCCTCCTTGCCATCCATTGTCTCATTGCCTCTTTTCAATCTGTCAGAATCAGGATCAAAGATGGAATAGGGAGGTGGCAGATACAGAGATGAAACGAGAGACTCCTGGCGTGCAGACTTTTTCGACGCAGTACATGTCAGCTGTAAGGAGGGCCTCAGAGGTAACAACTTAAACAACAACACCACAATAGGGACTTGCACCATATATATAATTAGAAACCACACCAGCTGTGGAAATATACTTATTACCACAGTTTCATTATAGCTGCATCTAACACCCATTTTAAGTAATACAGCTTTCCAAGACAGTCTAACACTCCAGAACCTGCAGTTGTCCTCCTGCAGCTCTGGGAAAAGTGTTTCGTCTGAGCGAGGGGGCCCGTGGAATAAAGGCTCAGTGTCCCGCCTTCAAGCTATCTCCAGTGAAACCCTGAGCATGACTGCAGAGCTGGCAGCGACTTCAAAGATTCCCCACAGTGCAAAGGCCCCCCTGGCATCCAGATGTAAGTTTTCTAGGATACATTCTGTGCAGGAGGCGACTGGCCAGTTTCCTCACTACCTGGCTTTTTAACCGATTTATTTTTTTTAAAACTTCTATTTCATAATATTAACTGTAATTGGATATCTGCTGTGTTTTCATTGCAAGCCAATATGTTGGATTTCTTTTGGAACACAGCTTTTTTGCGTCGCCTTTTCCAAGGCAATAAAGACAAAGTACACCCCGCACAGTATCACAACAAGCACAGGCCTGAGCATGTGAAGGACAGAGTATTAAATGGATCCACCCATGGGGAAGCAAGCAAGCAGACACAAATCCAAGACATCCGGAAGAGCAAGAACGAGATGAAACACCTTTTCAGCAAAACAAACATTGAGGAGATCATAGACCCTGAGCGCCCCACCAGTTCTGAGACCCTGGACTTCCTGGGAGGTATCACCACTGTCCCACATCTTTCCTCATTTGATATGCTGTCCAGAGAATCTGAAGAAGAGGAGGCAGATGATGGCCTGTTCTCCTGGGATGCGTACAAACAGAGCAGCTCAGCCTCAGCTACTCTCTCTCACAGCACTCATTGCCTGCAGTCTTTCAGTTCCCAGTTAAGTACATTTTCAGGTGGAGCATCAGTTTGTAATAGTGATGGATACAGTCTCATTCCTCTCCTGGAGCAAGCGAGGCAACCTCATGTGGCACCACTGCCACCTATCACTAACAGAGTCAGGAGGGGTTTTGTGGCTTGCAGGTGGCGAACATCACAGGCAAGCCTGGCCTCCTCACTCAGGCCTAGCTGCTGTCAGAGGCGGTCTACTCTGGTCAACAGGCAAGAGGACGCTGTTCAGAAAGGAACCATTACCGCTGACAGATCGCAGCCTTCCAATGAGGCCTGGAGTCCAAGAACCTCTGGACAACTAGATAATCTGAATATGGATGATAGGATGGCGTTAAGTGACATCGGAGTACACATTCAAGAATGTCAAGCGACCCAGGGAGAAGCGATCGCTGTCCAAAACGCCCAGTCTCTAAAAGATGGCAACAAAGAGATTGTATGCAGACCCACACAAAGGTGACCAATTGAATTATTTAATAGATTCTTTTTTAATGACTTTTTAATGTACTGAATAGCTATGACTAAGCATTCAATATATTCATCATTTTAGATTAAGACAGTATCCTGATGAAGATGTGTATAAATGGCTTAGGGTATAAAATCTCTTGAGTTAATAGTTTTAATTGTGTGATCTTCTACTCTCTGTAGGTCATTAGTCGAGTTATCTAACGTTAACGAAGAGGATGAGGATCAGTGTCGGATCTGCCACGGTGGCGACAGTTCACCAACCAACCCACTGATATCACCCTGCCTGTGCTCAGGGAGTCTGCAGTTCATTCACCTCGACTGCCTGAAGAGATGGATCCAGACGAAACTCGAGTCCGGTGAGTAGATTGCTAATGGTGATGAGTTGAATTTGCCATGTGACTGATCAAAAAGGCAGTTAGATGACTAAAAATAATATAATCCCAAAGAACTTGACTGCAAAAGAAGAATTTATTTAGGATGTTCGGTGATCATGGACGATATGTTTAGGCCTACTGCATCCACTTTTCCAGGGTCAAAGCTCTATATTGTCAAAAGATGTGAACTTTGCATGGGGGGGCTAACACTGGACCCGGATATGTTCGACTTGGACGATTACTGCAGACGTCATAACGAAGAGGTAAACTGAGGCAGAAAAAAACAAACAATACAACAAAAAAAAAAACGTTGCGTCACATGACAGCACTTTTGTCTTGCTCCTGTCTGTCTTAGGTAGACATCACTTTACAACTTTATGTCCGAGAAGCAGCTGAGATGGTGACCTTGAGCTCATCGCTCTCCAGAGCTTTACTACCAGCACTAGTAACAGTTCCCTCCGCAGTCCCCAGGGTAACTATACATTCTTAAACAATTCTTTTACTTACTTATAAAGAGAGTAACTCCTAATTTACGCACAGAGAGTATTGAAAATGAAAATCTCTACTAAAAGTGGCGTTATTAATTCTGTCCTCAGACTCGGATGTGGACAATGCTTCCCTACATAATGAGGATCCGAGAGGGGAGGAACCCCTCACCAGAGCCCTCTGTCACTTGATCTTCAGCCATTCCCCATTTCTTAACATCTTGGTTAATGGGAAGCTAAACAAGAGTATTACAATAAATCACAATGCATCAAAGTGAGCCGATCAATGTAAAAGCAGTGGTCATATACAGTACATTAAGTTACTGTTTCATACAATGTTTATTACATTTTGCACAAGTATCAAGTGTTCATAAGGTTATAAGAGATTTAGACATTAACCTATACTGACGGGTTAACTTTTCAAAATGTATTTTCACAACTGCAACATCAGTATTTTGTTTTACAGAATGTAGAATTAAATAATCTAGACACATGTCTGTCGCTAACAAACATTTTAATAATATTTTAAGAATGTAACGACTCTATAGTGCTTTATTCTTTAGGCACTATTTCATCACATGAGGTATTTCAGTACCCACATGTTGCTTTGTTTTAATCGAATCAACTCACTTAGGCGCACAGTTCGTGTCCTGCACCAATATCTACAGCTAGAAAACAACCTTAACCATAAAAAGTAAGAGCGTAAAGCAGAATTCAGTGAATGAGTGTTATCAAGACTCAAGTTGATGTTACAGAGGAACTGTTACTAACAATGTGCATCAGTGTCACATGAGCGAAATCGCTGATGCTCCTCCTCGAGATTCCTGTGATGTGACTCAGTTCTCCCACGACCTGCAATGCATTAAAAGACAGTCTACGTCAGCCAAAAAGTTTGTATGGAGTGTGAGATTAAGTACACACTAACATTAACTAAGTAAGATGACTTGGTGTGCTTGATATGGCTGCATATTATGTCTACTTTCTCGACATTCAAAGCTCCAGTGTGTAACATTTAGAAAGAGCTATTGGCAGAATATAATATGTGTAACTATGTTTTCATTAGTGTATGATCACCTCAAAATAAGATTGCGGTGTTTTTACCTTAGAAATTAGCCTTTTATATCTACAGATGCCGTAGGTCACCTTCCATGGAGGCCGCTATGTTTCTACGGCAGCCCAGAGCGGACAAACCAAACACTGGCTCTACATAGGGCGCAATCAATCTGCAACTACACCTCTAGATACCACTAATTCCTACACACTGATAGCAGATGTTATTGTGAATTAAAGTAATAATCTCAAGTGTTTCACCTGCTGCCATTTTCTGACATAGTAGATGAACGAAGCCACAGCAATGACACTGACACCAAGAAGCATGTAGTCTTCAGTCACTGTCACAAACTTCTCTCTGTTTAAAAAAAAGTTTAGTATTGAACCAGCTATAATCAATATTTTTTACATTACCAGTGGAATATGCCCTGCAGAAGGGCGAGCCGGGAGAAACGAAAACAACATAGACACTTCCCAGCTGGTTGTGGTCGACTCAACTGCCAGTCGAGCAGCTTGTCCGCTCTACCATGACAGTAACCACCTGTCCCGCAAAGATCTGAAAATGTGGCTAAAAGAGAAATGTAATACCGCTGTTCTGTGGACGGGCTGACACACTGAGTGGTCATCACTAACAAGGAGTTGAAGATGGCGGTCCTCTGTAGGCTGACGAACTGGAGAACGTGGTGGCACAGGTGATACAGGCGCTCCACGGGGATGGATGGCTCATTGTGTCCTAAAAAAAAGTTTTAAGTTACCTCGGTCAAAGTCAGTACAGCTGTTCAGTGGATATGAATTATCTTCACAAATGTTTCTCTCTCTGTTTAAATATGATATCTTACCAAGAACCTCCAGAAGGATTTCCACATATGTCAGTGGGTTAGGGGCATTTAGCCTGAACTCAAGCCCTTTTAAGATCATCAGCTCTGATTCCAGGACAGTCTGCTTGGAAACACTATAGCCGACTGAATGCAGAAAGCGTACGGCAGTATTGTTGTCGATTATCTAGAAAATGTGTGAAAAATTACAGATTATTTTTTATCTCTAACCCCAAAGGATTTCGAGTTTTTATTCCTGGGCATCGCAGAATTTACATGACTGTGCAGAGACAGTTTGCTTGCAAGCTGCACGCAGGAGAAGATGATGAGGGGGAATTTCTCCTGGAGCTTGGCAAACACAGCATCCTCGTGACTTCTCGGTGACTCAGAAGCGGCACCTTGGCGCGGGGGTGTGGTCAACAAATCTGTGAGGTGCTTGACCATGAACCTGGGGGAAGATAATTTTTCACATAAAAGCATTGCTAAGTCAATATCACACTGGGTGTGGCAGGGGAAAGCAAATGCGCTGTTCCTTCTTACCTTTGAAGTAATTCAATGGCATGGTATCCAGCTAGTGGATCAAGTCTTAGTTCTCTAGTGATCAGGAAGATGTATTCTGCATTTCACCAGAGAGGGATACAGGGGGTTAGCAAAAGCAGAGAGCAAAACTGAAAAATCCCCTTCTGAGTGGAAGCATGAGGTCAACATGTTGGGACAGAGTTGGTGGATTATAATCAGAGCAAACAAAATACATTGGCAGAAAGGAATCTGTACGGCAGTAAATGTGTTTGGGCAATCCCGTGTAAAGTGACACAGGGAGGGGTCTCGTTCTGTGAAAGGAGATCAATAAAATGAAAGAGGAGCCATTACTCTTCAGGTGTTATTATATGAGCTATTTGCAGGGATGCTAATTGGACATGTTGGAAGAGAAAAACTATATCTCGCATCATTTATCAAGGTGCAAATCATCCTTTAGATCAGTGCTTCTCAACTCCAGGGGGGCATCCGGGGTTCTTGAGGGCGTTCCAGGTGGTTTCACTAGTATTTAAGTAGTTAATCTGCCAATCTACAGTACAGAGAGGCCTCACCTAATCTTATCAGACAGGGATCCCTGAGACTACCATCTTATCAAATACGGGTCCACGGCCTGATGTATCAATTTGTGGGTCCTTGACACCAAAAAGGGTGGAAAGCACTGCACTATAAAATAACACAGATGGTCCAATAGAGACAGGAATTGATTCATTTATGACTTTTAAATCTCTGAGTCTCCTTTCTTTATACTTATTTTGGTGTGATAGAACAGCTGGGAGTCGTGCAAGTAAAGCATTTAACGCTGAATCACAACCACGCTGGGTTCTCGACACCACCCACCAGCCAACACTAGCAAACCTGTATCGTGACTGGGCAGTATTTCTATTGACCAGTCCGTTTGAAAGAAACCAAACTATGTATCATGTATCCATTCTGTGAGTATAACTTCTAATAGAGCTATCCCCATTCATTTATTTAAATAAAATTGCATTTTATCTGTTTCATGAACAACAAGGAAGCATATGGATGTTCATTAGAAGTCATTAACACTGCTTTCCATCTGCTCCTCCTCACTGGCAGTGTTTGCTGAGGTGGAGGCAGCTGGGAGATTGTGCTACCTTGACGAGATTGTATTGAGAACTGGTCTCCATAATGACAGGGCTTAAAATCCCAGGTGTATGAAAGAGTGATAACAGGGTACAGTGACGCTTATTGGGCCATTCAGAGACTTTTTGTGGATCACACCTGCTGACAAAATTATTATATTGCAGAATGAGAGTCTGCGCCCCTCGGTTCAATAATTACACCATAAAAATGCATCTTAAAAAGTCTGAAAATAGCCTCGTTTACTGGTTGTAGTAGCAACCATAGAAAAATGGTTTTACATTATGTTATGTGACAGCTGTAAAATCATTAATTAAAAGGGAAAATGAGATGCAATGAGTGTATTCATCTAGCTGCATACTCGCTGTCACAGCTGTGTGTGATAAAAACACATAATGTAATAGAATTACCTGGAAATTTAGAAATTAAATTTAAATTAAATTAAAATTAAAATGCATTGTTTCTCCAAAATGACGGTTATAAATTATGTTGGGCGTCATATGCATTTAAAACTATACTAAAATAACGTTATGTAACGTAATTTAACGTTTGTCAGCAAGCTGAAATGAGTAATTACAAACTGCTACTTTACCATATAACGTTAATATAATAGTATATTAATGTTACTCACCCACTAGTCTTTTATCTTTAAAGCTTCCGCTACATTTTGATAAATCGTTGAGGTTATCTTTGTTTCTTTTGTTGAGATTAATGAGGAAATCTGTGAGCAGGTCGAAAGAAGCTTCCCGAAACTTAAAACTTCGGCTTGGAGAATAAAGGAACCTTTTCGCCATTTACACGGACTAACGGCTAATCTCCTGAAAACATAAGAGCACTCGTTAGTTTGTGATTAGGAATAAGTTGCTAAACTAAAAATAAATCGTGCCTGAAGCTTATATTTCCCGGAAGATGGCGCCAATTCACCCCCAGAAACAAGTCAACGTTTCCTAGTAGGAACTATAAGCCGTAGGGGGTGTGGGGGCTCATTTGTCTGTAGCACAGTCCGGACCGTACTCGTGTGGTGCTCACCGCAGATCTCACAACGTACGGATGCGCTGCTCCCCTGCGCAGTAAGCTGCCGCCAAGTCCATCCATCGTTTAACCATCAGCTCTGCGCATGACTGTTGCGAAACAACCTTTCCCCGTGGCCCCTCTGACTGCAGACATGGCTGACAAGACGCCGAAGGAGTCCCCCGCTCCCTTTGCGACCAGGATAAACCCGGATAAAGAGGCTCTTTCGCGGGAACAGATTCACTTCATCCGACAGGTAGAGCTTGAACAATGGAGGAAGAAAGTACAGAAGCTGCGGACGCGAAACGTTGTGACAGGTTTCGCCATTGGAGCACTCGTTGTGGGAATTTGTATCCTTGTCTACACAAGGTGAACTATGTAACAGTAGCTTAGCATGCTAAAGTTACTCTAGGTAATTTGATGGTAAACCAGTGTGAAGCCTGTCTCTGCACGGCGAGTTTCTCAAGCTTTTACTGACATTAACGTTGCGAGTTATTTTATTAGGCTGGTGGATGCAGCAACATGTCTTTAAATGTCTTTAAATGTCTTTAGCAGGGTGATGTTACACAAGTTTCCGACACATTGGGCGCTAACGTGACAGGTAACGTTAGCGTTCACTGCAAAGGTGATTTGGGTTGCATCCGTAAAATAACTATAAATGTAAGTTATGTTAAATGTGTTCTTTAAGTTAAGTTACTAAAGCTTCTCTTAGGTCAGTCTGTCTGATTCCCTCCTGGATCCACCAGCTTTAGTGTCCCAGTAGATGCTCAATTGTTTTGGGGTTTTTTTACATTAAAGTATTAAAAGATTTGTTTACATATTTGTCAGGATAAGAGAAGAAAAAAAAAATGAGTTGTTAGATATGAGAGAACTAAAAAAGTGCTCAGGGTTTATGAGCTACTAACGTTAGTATTTGTCACAATTATAAAATGCTGAGTCCATTTTTACTTAATATTTAATGACTTTTTTAAATTTTCCTGGTAGAAATGGGCTCCCATTTTAAACCATTTATATAAATGAGGGAAACACCTGCCAATGTAATGCAATACACTTGAACTGCACCACAGCTTCCAAACTGGCCGTAGAGATGAATCAACACTTTTTGAACATTATGACATTAATGTAGTTAGGAACTATTGCAAGGCTGTTAACTAGGTGTACCTAATAAACTGGCAACTGATTGTATTCAAGTCCCCCAAAAAAGGACAAGATGGGAAATATTTGATGTTTTAATGAATGTGGACAACCTTAAGGTATTCACACAGACGGTTAAATCACTCCCTTTGTCATGTAATGTTTGTTTCTTCTCGCTGTCCAATATATTTGCCTTGACCACTTGCTCCCCACCTAGACGGCTACACCTTTTACTCCGTCTCCCAGGAGCGAATCATGGACGAAATTGATGAGGAGGCCAAGCGGGCAAGAATGCAGGGACCAAAGACTGGTGCCAACTGAGACGTTGCCTGCTTGTTGTATGACTGTGTGTCGGCCCTGCACTTACCCGAGAAGGGACCTACGTGGACACTGATGCCACTGATTTATATTCCGTGGCTGGCCGCTGTTTTTCGTGTTGAGACAGCACTGGATTTTATCTGAAGAGTAATTGTGTGGTTCTGCTGCTGACTTAAAACTAGACGTGTCTTGATTTTGATTAAGTTTGCCTGTCGGTCTAATCCGCTGACCTTAACATGACCCTACATGCTACCCAGAAGGCCCAGGCTGTAGAGTAATTACAACCCTTTACCTGACCCCGTTTCCAGCCCTGATCATGCAATGTGCATTCAGTATTGAGGGAATATCCACAATTTCAGTCAGATAATGATTTTAAATCTACAGAGGCCTTCAGCAGCAGAGAACGCCAGTGACACTGCTGATATGACACAGTGATCAACCTGTTGAAAACATATTTATGTCGATAAAATTATGATTTGTAAAATAAAAAGCTAATGTATTTGATTTTTTTTTAACGCAGTATGTCTCTGTGTAACTGGTTATGCAAGTGAAAAAAAAAGACACTGGGTGAAGCAGTAAAGATGACAAGAGAGCATCGGTATTTACAATTGCATTTATTTTTGTCAAAATTTAATATATGGAGTCTGATCTTGCCACCAAATCTTGAGAGTAAAAATATAAAATAAGACATTGTAAGGGAAAGGCACAGATTCAGCATGGCAGGACAGCAGCAGCTTTCAGAAAGCAATACAATTATATATTTACATTCAAAATTTTGAAACGTCTTTGAATATATTATGAACTTTGGAAAATCTTACAGGAGTTCCACTGCCAGAAAAATTCAGTGTGTGTCGTGAATATTTTATAAGGCAACAGCTACACATTCACAGCTTGGACTGATTTCTCTATTGTCCCACAATGCACTAATTATTTAAAACTGTGTGAAGGTAGATCATCATCACTGTGATCCAATATGACATATTGTGATCAAACATAAACTGGAGTATATTCTCGATCTCCCTTATGCAACATTAACAGGAAACGTATCAGCTCTTCCTCGAGTGAACACAGTTTTATCCACAAATGTGTTAAATGATTGGGAACTAAAGTAGAATGTACTAAAGTGCACAAGTTGCTTGATCTAGCAACGAAATATGATTTTTGCTGGAGCAAGAATTAAAAATGCACTACGCTATATACACATGTACAATCAACAGGAAAGCCAGTAGTCTAAAACCTAGGTGGATTTTTCACAACTAATCAATACAAAGAAATCATTTTTAAATTTAAAACAAGCTATAGAATTTGAAAAATGATGTGTGATGTTTTTTCTATGCTAAATTCTTCCCATTTCATTTAATGAAAAACAGATTTTCTTTCTGCTCAAACAAGCTACACGCTAACGTTAATAACTGTTGTGCAACTTTGTTTTCTCTGTAGCACTAATATCTTCAAATGTGTGTGTTGACAGAAATGATATCTCTGTATTGTACTGCTGTACAATGTGAAAAATCATTTTGACTGCGTCTAAAAATGTCGGGACTGCAGTCAAACGTCTCCGGGCTGAGCCTAGAGAGTGTGGCCAATCCTACCAGGTGTCAAAATCACCAAAGAAGTACTACAACTAAATGTTTTCATAATACATATTTGAAAAAAAATCAAACTGTACAATGCATCTAGACTGCTCTCATCAGCCCCTGGAAGGCAATAATCAGAGTGTATTCACTGTGCAGTCAGCAGGTGCTGAGACATCATTAACAAACTACAGCAAATAGGATGCGAGATTATCTGAAGTGTTGTCATTTGTCTGTGACAACTGTCAGTAAAAGTGTCAGAGAGAGTGTCACAGAGCCTCGCTGTGGTTCACATTACTGTGCTCAGGTTGATTAACGGCAGTGACTCAGACAAGCAGGAAAAACAGCAACTATTATCATTCTGGGTCAAAGTCATCACTTGACTGCGTTGATGCTAAAAAAAAAAACTCAAGAGAAAACATTTAAAACAACATGTGATGTGACATTTTGCAGAGTACTGTGGTAGCCAGGGCTGAAGTTCATCCTGAACCTGTAGGCCTTACAGTTTATTTACAAAAGGGCAAAAATGAGCCAGATTGGGAGATATTCTGTGCTTCAGCTGCAACAAATTCACCAGATCTGACGACGGGCTGAAAAAACTGGAAGTTACAGTTCCTGTGTACATCCAGCTTATTGATGACAGTTTATATGTACGTTGAGGTAAATGACCACTGGCAGAACCGTGTGACCACTGGCAGAGGGAAGCCATTTGCTGATCGGTGTGCCAGTGAAATGTGTTGAAGCGGTCCTCCTACAGGACGGGTTTGACCACTGCAGTCACACTTCAAATGAGGTAGTCCAAATATACAGCGTGCTTGGCTGAGAGTTTTTTACTAGGAAAAAGAGAAAATAGAAAGAAAAAAAATACATAAAGTGAGAACAAGCCTTTTTTTTTAATTTAACAAGGAGAATAATAGGAATATGAAGTTTTTTAATGCAGTGTTAACTCACCATTCTACTAATGTCAGTGGCAAAGGTAACACCTTTGCTTGGTTTATCCTGGGAGCCGCCGCTGCTGCTGCTGCCTCCAAGGGAGTTTCTCCTAATGATACCTAGGAAAATAAACATAGCACACATTTACACATAAAGTTGTGACATATTTACTAGGTATTAACTCACAAACGTATTACGTAATCCTAAAAGAAATGTGGCTCCTTACCCTGGAGTGGCAAGATGTCCAACCGCTGCAGGCTGTTCCTGCGGGACGAGGGGTAGCCGCTCCCTTTGGACAGGCGGCGTTGTCGACTGGACAGCATAGCAGCAGGTGAGACGATGCCTGCAGGTGGAACCTTCCCCATCTTCTCATACAACTCCTCAATCTCTCTCTTCTGGGCAGCCTGCAGGGCCTGCACCTCTGTCAGATGTCTGATAAGGGACAAAAAAAGTAACGAATGTAAGCGGTTAAAGGCTCCTTTTTGTTGCCGGGATGTGTCAGTGAAACAGGGTTGTGGGTTTGAGAAGGCCTCAAGAAGTTTGTGATGATGGATGGGTAAACTTTTTTCTAGATATTATATCTTATATATTTATAGGAACTAAATATAGCATTAAAATTCTAGTGGTTTACTAGTGATCGTTTTCAGCAACTTAAAAAAACAAAATAATTTAATAACAAGAATTTTATTATCTTTGGGATTTGTTGGACAAAACAAGCTATTCGAAGACATCAACTTGGAAATTGTGATGAGCATTTATCAACCTTTTTGACATTTAACAGACTTAACGATTAATAAAAATACTAAACTATCCACAGATTGTTTGCAGCAGCCCTAAAAAGTTTCCTCTTGTCTTCTGTTTCCCATGAATACTCTGTTTATAGCACCTATTCAGTGTTCAACTGTATTCTGAGCATCTTCAGTGGTGTCACTTACTTCTCTCTGAGCTCCTGAAGCTCTTCCAGCATGTCTTCATCATCACTGTCTGAGTCATCGCTGCTTAGGTAGGGAGTGTTGCGGTTGTAAGTCATCATCCATAAATGGTGAAGGGCATTGCTGTACTGCGGGCTGCCGGCCGCTCCGTCCCACAGCCTCCCCTCCATCTCAGCAGCCGTCACTGAGAGCCCGCTGTCCGCAGACGTTCCCATCAGGCTGAGGCTGTACGCTCTCCTCCGACTCCTCTTCCTTACCCTCTGCCTTTCCCCAACGACCTCTACCTCCCGCTCCTCCTCCTCCTCCTCCTCCTCATCCTCCTCATCCTCTTCATCTCTGTCCTGCTGCTGCTCCTGGCTCCCAGCCCACCCCGCCTGTCCGTCAACCTCCTGGAGGACCCCCGTTGACCCTCTGTGGGGATGCGGGTGAGGAGGGGACATTGTGAGGGAGGTGCCCAGGCTCGTCTCAGACTCACCCTGCTCCTCTGTGCTGCTCTCTGATGGGGTGCTGCCGCTGTCTGCCGGCTGCGGTGCAGCAGGTTCAGCAACTACTGGCACAGGAAGCGCAGGGATGTCCATGCTGGGTGTCACCTGGAATCTCCCAACAGTGACTGGTGCAGACTGGACTGTAATATAGAGGAAGAGTTTAGTCCTCTCCACAAATCCTACAAACATACTTAAAAACACTTTTACTTTGACCAGTTCCCTGCAGGACAAAGATGTATGATTAAGCATCTAAATGTATGTATAATATAAAACAAACTTTATACTGGTTAATATCAGTTCTGGTAAGCTAGAGTTCACCCTCTACTTACTTCTAGCATCCATGAATAAGAAGTTGTAACATCTGGACAGCCTATTTATAGGAGTGACAGCCAATCATTGGCTAAACAGAAGTCATTGTTCTGAAAATCTAATCAGAGCCGACTGATCATTATAACAAAGCCTCACTCTTTCCTAATTGCCAGGCTTTGATTAAAATCTAATCATCTGTTCCTTGGCAGCTGTACTGAAAGGGGTCTCACTCTGTTTGCAGTAATTCCCCATTATAGGTACATATCCTCTGTAGAGCCTTAACATAGCAGTGATAATAACAAATAGCTGGGATGGAGTTGTTGACTGGTGCCACATACTAGTGACGCAAACAGTTGGAGTCACAGAATGTTCTCACATCTGCAGACCATTATAGGGTTTAAAGTCCTGCAGTGCCTCAGTCCGCCCACTAAGTGTCCTTCTTACTGTAAACACAGACAGCATCTGGGTCTGTGCCCACTGAAACAGAGGGACTCTGTTGAATGCGGGTTTCTGAGGAGGGTATAAATACTGACAGGTGTGGATATGGGAGGAGAGGCCTGTAATGAGCACGGCTGCTCGCCGATTGGTCGCTGCCGGTGGGTAGGTCCCCAATCACACCTACGTTTGTGTTTGTTTCGAATGGAACATTACATCCAGACTCGTGGTTACGCAACGGCTCCTGAGGCACCACTAATAGGTGATAATGTCACTAAGGATACAGCAGAGAGAAGGAGAGAGGGAACTGAAAACAACTCAAAAGGCAAATTGGCTGTAGCAGAGACACCGGACTGTATTTAGACCTAAGACACCATAAAATGGAGCAGAGGGAAATAAACTTGTAATGTTTGACTGTGGGTGCATTTGGCTGTATACACAAGCATGTGTATATGTGTGTGGGTTTGTTTGGGGTGCAAACATAAATGTCATAGTATGTCATTTTCCAGCTCTCTCAACCCTCGTACATTAGGTGTTTATGAGCCAGAGATGGAGGAGAAACTGGTTTCAGGAACTTGAGAACATGCACATGCTCTTACCCAATTCCGTGGAAGAGGCTTTTGGTTTAGGGCTACTGGCATTCATCTCAGGTACAGCGGGGTGCAGCTGAGTGCTGAAGGATGATAACTAGACAGGAAGAATTAACATTGTTAGTTTTAGTGATACGGCAGATTGTCTATATAAAATACAGTTTCTTCGTCAATCTTGTTCTAAAATTCAGTGTTTCAGTTATCAGTTATGGCGGGCCACCAACTCAGTTTTTAGTGCCATGGAAATCCCAAATGCTGGCTTATTGTTTAAATTAATAACAAATTCAATTAATTTATCAAAGAATTGCCTACAAAATGTGTGAAAGAAGCCCATCCCTATTTCCCAGAGCGCAAGTTGGCATCTTTAAATAGCTTGCTCTGTCCTACCAACAGTCCAAACTCCAAAGATATTTAATTTGCACTCATATAAAATCGAGAAAAAAAAAACAAATTCTCAAATCTCAGAAGCTGGAACTTATAAATGTCTGGCACATTAGCCTCAGAAATGACTGAAATGATTAATCAATCATTTTGTTTGATGAACGATTAATCATTTAAGCACTAATCACACAACATCATTTTAAGGGAATCTCAACTGAAAGAAACTGAAAGAAAAAAGTAACTAAATGTGACTCACAGTGCTTTCTGGACTCTCTGGGGGCGACGGGGAAAGGTCTGATGAAGAGTTTGACCTGAAGACTTCTGATCTGGGTTCAGCCTGAGCTGGAACTTGTGCTGTGTATGGGGGCACATAACCGTGGTAACTGTCCTCCTGGCTCATGCTGGGGGGACTGGAGAGTCCAGAATGCTGCAAAGGCTCCTGGGGAACCAGTGGAGGAGTGGAAGGCATAGAGGGTGGAGAGACATGATGTGGCCAATTTGGATGACTGCTCTGATGATAAGTGCTCTGAGGATAACCATCCATCTGAGGTGTATTCTCAGGGCTGTGGTAAACGTTCTGTGATGGGATGCCTGCGGTGGGGTAAGGGACCTCTACTGGTGGGGTCTGGTAATGTTGTTGGTAGACGGAGGGGTAACCCGACTGTGGGTTCATTTGAGAGTGTAGCTGGGGGTGGTAGCCTGGATAGGAGGACATCCCGTGGGTGGGCATGCTTGCAGGAGGGATGAAAGACTGGGCCATGCTCATGGCCATGGAGATGACATTAGCTAAGGAAAACAGGGGCTGCGTGTGGGGGGGCCACATGTTGGGATGCTGAGGGGCATGTGGGGACATGTTAACACTTTCGTTGCTGCCGGGACTTGGGGTCTCATTTAGAGGACCTGGGGAACCGGGGGCTGGGGAGGGAACAGAAGGGAAGGTGGGGTTACTGGCTACACGTGTGAGGGGAGGATGGTTGGCGGGTTTGGGGGAACCCGGAGAGCCTGGGTACGGGAATGGGAAGTGACTGTGGCCCATGTAGGGCAAGTGGTAGTGCTGGTGGTGGGGCAGGAGAGACGCAGGGTTGTGATGGTTCTGATAATGGAGAGGAGAACCTAGAAGACAAAGATACATTTTTTGTTAATTTGGGTATAAACTGGGCAGGAAAAAAACATGGACAAAAAGTCAAAAGTTTCTTAATGTCTTTGTTTAACTTTAGAACGTGTAATTCTGCACAGTTGTAGAGGAATATTGGACAGAGTTCATCTGGAGAGACAAGTTAGATCACTCATTCTTCCCCTCTCCTCGGAGGCTTGGTCAGTCTAATTCTTGGTTCAGCCCCCTGCCAAGACATACGCCATGTGGAGCATAAATCCTTTCCGTACTTTCAAATAATGGGTTTCCATGGTGAACAAAGACGTTTTGTTTAAAGTAGTATCCGACTATAATTGCATTCGTAAGCCGGAGCAGTTGCACCCCAGGCTTACATTGCTGTGAGGGATTCAGCATCAATGAAGCGAGTGAAGCTTTTACGTAGGACATTTTCGAGGAGTAAATGGAACACATGTGTGTACACAACTCTTTGGGTCTGATTGTAAGATTAAAGTAGTCAGGGTTTCTACATCACTCCTCGGGGAATACTTTAGGATTCCAATGTCCTCGCCCCATCTATTGATTTGACATTTACCTCAACAATAGCTCCACAGTTACAAACCACGCCTCCTGTTGCTGATGATGATGCAATCCAGCCTCTACTTTTTTCCATGCTGACGGAAACATAGGTTAGGCAACACTCCATAACAGTGGCGGGAGGCCCAGAAGCATTGCGAAAGCGACCACGCACTGGACGTCCAGCAGAGAGGGGACACAAGACAAGAGGGGATGAGGATGTTCAGATGGCCACTGAGGCTGGAACAGGGGGCATATGGAGGATATGTGTTCTTTAATTGACTTCAAATGCCCCTCCTGTGGGGATGGAGTCTTTGATGGGGGAGGAGGCTTTCTTGGAAATTCTGTAGGAGTTTGTGCTGGCAAACAGATGTTGCCGACTATCGCAGCACTGGAGAAAAGCTCATGCTTCACAGCGACAGCATTCACAGCTCCCTAAAAGCCAGAAAGGGCCCTTCAGGTGAGGTAATTACCCAAGAGGCCCTGCTGCAAGGCAGACACAGCGAGGCTTTGAGGTGTGGGGATGGCGGATGGCGCCATTGCGAATGTCTGAACAATACCAAGAACGGGCCCCGAGAAGGGGAGGGAGGGTTTATGAGGTAGCTGAGCTTTGCTTTGACTTATTCTTTGCCAAAGGACTGTAACAATTTTTCAGTGTGCTGAAACAGTAAACAATGCAAGGCCTCTTCACGTAGGGACCAGAGGGAGGGGCAGAGGGCTATTTACCTGGGGCGTTGTGGAAAGACTGTGAGCGCATTAGAGGTCGCCCAGGTGAAGTAATGTCTGCACTGAAGATGTCTCCATTGGGGCACGGGGGAGAGCCACGTACCCCAACACTCGGGTTAGCCACACTGAAGTCTAAGACAAGACACACACATGCATGAGAGGATGCCCGTGCACCCGTCAGTACACACACACACACACACACACACACACACACACACACACACACACACACACACACACACACACACACACACACACACACACACACACACACACACACATAATGATCATGCACAGTTAAAAAGATGCAACAAACAAATGCAAGTTAATCTGACATGCTGTGAGAAAGACTTTATGCAGTTCACACACACTTAATGTTAATTGGTGAATTTCAGACTTTATTCATATCATTCATATTAATCTCCGCAAGCATCAAATTATTCAGTTTCAAACTAGACGTGAGACTTACCAGGCAGAGACGAGGAGGAGTTGGTTCGAGCCAGGGTGTGACTGTGCAGATTAGGCTGTAAGAGAGCAACAGTTGATAAAACTCAATCTCTTTCCACGGCTCATTACTCACTATAATATGCATGTGTATCTGAGTTGAATGTGACTGGGTAGAGACTGGGTTAGAGACTGGACTGGAGAGTATTGTGTACATATTAATGTCGTATTGGTACTACTTCTGCCATGCGTGTTGTTTAAGTGAACTCCATATTTCACTTCCAATTGGGGGACATATGGATGGACAAAATCGATGGAGAAGAGATCAGAAATTCGAAATTTAAATTTACTGTAAATGTTAGACCCAAAAATGGGCCAAGATCCAAAAACAATAGCTCCTACACTTCCCATAATGCAACTTACTAGCATGCAACTTATTAGCGTCTTTGATTAGACCCTCCCATATTCTTTGAAACTGCATGTCCTAGTTAGTAATGCGAACTCTCTGCTAAGATACCCAGGGAATGTCTGCTGGGTAATTTAGTCACTGCTTGTGTAGTAACCCCTCGTAAACTGACTGACATATAAAATCTATGAAATGTCCCTTTAAATCACTGCATGCTTCAGACTTCAGATAATATAGGTGAGACTGAGGCCTGACCTCAGGTATACGAGCACGTGTTCCCCGTCCAGTGTAATACAACACGTATTAAGTGGGCAATAAAGTGAATATTAAGCCGACTGTAAAGAATTTACTGTTAATTTGTGAAAAGCTGTTTCCATAATACATCCCATGTTATTAACCAGTTAATACAACTATTATTACGTCTTTGTGCATTTTATGGAAGGTCATTAACTCTCCATTATTTGGATAACTGGCTGCTATAATCTAGCCTTTTCTGAAAAACAAAAAAGAGAAGTGAGAAACCCCAGTGAATTTATACAAATAATTTTAGATTCTAGCGCCGACAGAAGGTCAAAGTTTTCAATTATCCTGTGAAATATCTCAGCATCTTCAAGAGGCATTGGCACAATTGTACTTTGGGTTTAGTGCTAATTAACATGCTAAAAAGCTAAATTAAGAAGGTGATAATGGGAAACAGCACACTTGCTTTATAGTATGTGTGCACTGTCATTGTGAGCTTGTTACCATGCTACTGCCAGCACGTAGCTCACTGCTGCACAGCCTCACAAGGGCTGCCCACTTGTTCTTCAAGTGGTGGGAAGAGGAAACTAGCAACAGTTAGACAAGCTTGGCTTTCCAGGGATTCAAGCTCCATTTATACACAGTGTCTCTTCCCAAAACTCTCAGAATAGCCCCCTACCTCAGAGTTACCACAACCAGAACAGAGATAAACAGATGAGTCTCCGGTCTTGTGGGTTTCTCCCTGACTTAACTAGATTGGTCTGTTTTTTTTTGTTTTTTTTTTTTGGCTGGACGTTGCTGGTGAGAGCAGCCATTACGGTTCTTGGAGGATGTGGTCCAGGCAGTGTTTTTAATCAGGCGCTGGAACAGAGCCAGGAGAGATTTGTCCACCGTGGTTTGGGGTAATTATGGTAGCCAGGGGGTCGGAAAAATGGCGAACAAGGTAGATAGTTGGAGGTAGTGGTTTTACTGCTCTTACTTTTCTCTTGTCCTAAATAAAACCGCACATTATTCTTTTCTCCATCATTAATGAACATGTTTGATCATTTTTACTAGGGGGGCACAAGGAGATTTTGTTCTGCGTGTTCTACAGAGTGGAACATATCCTGGCAGGACAGACACTTCTTTTCCCTTTAAGCAGACAAACTCTATCTGATTAGGCATTAGGTCATATCTCATACAGGGTGGCACTGTTCCTAATAACTCTTTTTTTCTTTTCCTGGAAGTCTTCATTTTACAGTTTCACATAATCTTGATGCAGAAAGGTTTAATAAATCCAAACATAAATTATTTCACTCATTCAATGTGGGCACATATGCTGGAAAGTTCATTATGTTGTACGCACTGGAAAGGATTTGTGGTTGTGGGAACAAATAAATGTGAAGAAAAAAAGGAGGCACACAGGAGTATGTTTCCACAAATCACAGGGTTTTATGACATTAGTGCTTTTAGTAACATTATGTTCTAAATGAAAGCACTACTTCAGGTGGCTCTAGAAACACTTAACCTGTCTTTAAGGGCAAGTCTCATGAGGGACTGTGGACAGTGAGTACAGCACTCCACTGAGGCTGTTTATTTCGAGTGTAGGAAGCACTACTCTACAGCTCTCCATTTGCTCAAGATTTATGGGTCTGCCTCAGATAAGACACACTATAGCTGGTGTAATTTATGGTCAGACAGCACAGTAAAAAACGCGCTCTGTTACTGTTACTTCCTTTGTTCTCAGCTAACAATGCTGTGATGTGGAATACTGGAAAGGAGCAGGTGCTGCTGCTGACCTGTGAGGAAGACAATGAGTTAACCCCGCCGTGGAAAGCAGGCTGGGGAAGTCGGTGTCCGCTTGAGTGGACCGGCTCCTCTTTGGTCATCAGAGACTCGGCCCGCTTGATGATGTCACCCATGCGGTGGATGAAGCCCTCCTTCTCTGACGGGAGGATGAACTCATTGTGCACCTTGAAGACAAAAGGACAATGATTGAAGAAGTATTCAGATACTTAAGTAACACGTGAAAATACTATTTACTCTTATTACAAGTAAAAGTAAAATATACAGATATTATCAGTAGATGTACTTAAAGTATTAAAATTAAAAGTGCTGTGAGTGTTATGATATATAATATCATTGGATTGTTATGTAATTAATCTGTGAGTAGCCTTTTGCTGTTTCATCTGTTTGAGCTGATGCTGATTTCATCTACTTTGTACAAAATTAGGGCGTTAAATCTATAAAAAATTATTATATTTTAGGTCAACATTTTATTTTCAATATAAAATGCAAGTTTAGAGTAACTATAGTAAGTAAAAGTACTTTCCACCACTGTAAAGGAACAGATACAATTATATGTGCTTCTAGAGTGCAAAATTTATTTGATGTGTATTTGTGTGTCCATCTATGAAATCTACCCACCCACCCTAGGCTAATGCTTATTCTTAGGAAAAAATACATAAATCATCTCACGCAAATCCACAATACAGCAGTTTGTTTGAGGAGGTTTTGAGTTTTGCATATTCATGCAGTTTTGAGCATTGCTGTGAATTGTGGGTTGGGGCGTGGTGACGGTTTCCTGTCAGCATGGCATAATTCAGCGCATTTAAAACTGCACTGAGAACCACGGGGGCTGCATTGATGCCAAGCTCCCTGCTGCGCCAGGACTCAGTAAACAAAAGCCCACTGTGTTTTAAGAGTCAGGAAAACAGTACATTCAGTGAACAAAAAGTGCTGCTGCGCACGCTGCCTCATCACGACTCGTCTGAGTGCGCCGCCTCTCTTCGCTAATGAAGACAATAACAGGGGGATGGAGCCGGTTACCTGCGTCACTCACTTCACAGAAAGTTTGATATACTATCAGCCAGAGTTTGGATGGACAAACAACAGGCTGTTAACTGAAAGCAGGATGAATCATGTGTGCCTTCAGTTGAGATAGAGGAATCTGTCAGACTTATCAGTTGACAGAGTGAGGTCATTTATTTATTTCTGTACAAATCTTATGAAGTTCTAGGAAGCTCTAACGAAGACTGATTTGACTGACTCCATTTCTCCTTAGGTGGCATCTATGGTGTTTACACTTGAAATATTCAAGACTCGAGTCTGGTGCATCATTTTATACACAATCAACAAAAAATAAGACAGCCTGACACCATTGGTATCTTTGGAAACTTTAGGATCTCCCCTAGAATTTAAAATAAAGGGAGCAATGTTTGGCTGCACAGAACAAGTTTGTGCTGAGTGAACCACCGGTTTGTCTGTGGGGGGATCAAGAAGTAAAATGACTTCTATACAAATTTCAAAAGTAAATCAAAGATCTCATTTATGACTTCTTCCTCCTTTAAAGCAAGATTATGTTACATTTGAAAGAAGATATACGACATTCCGGCTCTTACAAATGAAAAGTTAAATTAGAATTAATACAAATGATCAATTCGACACATGCTCTGTTTTTGCTGCAACAACCCTACTTGGTTGGTGTAACCAGCAGCTTTTGGCCACTAATGTTAGCCAACTTCAGATATCTCTATGTAATGGATATTACCGAGCCAGTTTACTGACTTGAGGGCTTTTCTGTACTTGTCCTACTGTTATACTAAGTTTTAGGATTAACCATTGTCCTGCCACTGTCAGTAGCGTATCTGCTGTCTAGCAAAAGTTACAGAGGTTTGTTTTAAATCAAGAGAATCAAGATCAAGAGTTAAAACTTCTGCCATGTCAACAATTATTTCTGATACCCACATTTTGTGAATGTTGGTGGAGTAGTGGATATTCCAGATCAGAATCATCACCAAAATCTAATCAATTGCTACTTGGTCCAAAGCCATATTTCACAAAAAATCAATACCACTCACACCTTAAGTAAATAGCAAAACAAAAGAAACCCTCTTTTTTAACCCAATAGAAGTGTTTTAATGTTGACATTATGAATATACCTGTTGATCATTGCAGGGCGAGTGACTAAGGACCAGTAATGACTTACCATGACAGCTGCAATGTCTTCAGGGTTATCTCCATCCAGGTCAAACTTGAAGGTCACCATCTTGTCATTGTGTGTCTGCAGCTGACACTCCACCACCCGGTCCACTTTATCGGAGAGCTGCATAGACGAACAGGATCAATGGTAAGCCAGGGGGTCTTGTTTACCCTCTAAACCACCAAGCAAAATTAAACACCAGAGGAACAATGTGTTTTTGTGTGTGAGTAAAGGGGTAGTGGTTTGTCTACTGTAAAATACAGTGTGTTTATGTGTGTAATGTATGCACTCTTTGCAACACTGTATGCACGTGGTTATGCATGATCTGTTTGCCTCTGCCTCCAGTCCAAACAAGCTCATTAAAAGACCACAGAGTGTTCTGATCAGAAGAGAAATGTACTGCGGTTGCCAGGGGAAGAAAACCATAGCTACTGATAATGTTACATAATCAGGGTGGAGCTTCACCACTCGCTCATAAATAAAAATGAATCTGCTAATTCAACCACTTAAATCTAGCTGACTGATTTATTTGTTTATGACGTCCGTAAAATGCATTCGCAGTGTTGCAATTAAACAAAACTTTTGAGTTATTGTACCCCTGTGATGCGCAGCCTTGAGCGCGCCCTCCTCCTGAACAGCTTCGCGGCAGTTCGCCTAGCAGCCGTTTTCTCGTTCTTCTCTGATAGGCCCTCGTAGCCGTCACTCAAGCCTGAAGTCACATCAGAGGCGTAGCTGCAAAGATATAAATTATACATGCTTCTGATTAGGAAATACGCCAAACAAAGCCACTGAAACATTCCTCATGCAGTAATTTCAAAGCAAATTCATTATCTACAACAGAAGTGTAAAAGGAATTGAGTATCCCACACGGCTGATTATCTTGGCATCACATATGATAATAAACAGCACTATGAAGTGTCAAATAAAGTCTTGATGTGTTACAGTGGCATGTCCCTTGGGCGTAAACAGCAGAGTTAAACAATGCAGTTTAATGAGGCCTGTTGAGAGTCTATGCGAAGGTGCCGTTCATCCAGAGGAAGCAACACGTCCATGTGAACCGTTGTGTTTATACAATGAACGAGTTTTAGGTTTCAGAGGACTGGAGAACATTCAGCATGTTTTATAAAAAGCTTTGGTTCAGCTAATTGCGTCTCATGGGCCTTTTTTGGATCGTTGTGGTCATAGACTCCTCTCCATCTACAGACTGCTAACATTTACAAGCCTACTGGTTGGCAGCGTCTGCCTGTCTATTTAAGAACCTCCACCTCACGGGTAACTTAAGTTCAGAGCAAAGCCTGTTTTTACCTCTAAACACTACATGGAAATGAGAGTAAAACGGATGAAACATTTGTGTTGATATTGCAAATGATTCTTCTGTTTTGTGATGAAATGTCTTCCTCTGAGAAAAGCCTTGGGTTTTCTCAGAGGAAGAATTAAACAACTGGGAGAATGTTTTGGATCCTAAATAGTGCATGCATAAGCTGTTATGAAACATGACACTCTAGCCTTGACATTTAATTCAATCTACTATGAACAAGTCAGATAAACTCTCAATCATGGAAGACAAGCGGACTGTAGGAGACCTTTTGACTATCGCTGCATTTGTAAATCCCAACCAAATTTTGGAACTAAATACAGGAAAAGTACAGAATTAACTGTATTCAAGCACAAATTCATTTTAAAATGTATTGACAGCACTTAATGGATTCATTGTTGAAGTCAAGATTTGCTATTTTTCTTTTTTTATGTATCACTGTAAAATGAATATCTTTGGGTTTTGGACTGTTGTTCGGACGGACAATAAAAGCAATCGGAAGATGTCATCTGGTCTTCAGAAAACGGCATTTTTCTATATTTTTGAAAGAATGCAGACTAAACAATTAATTGATTAATCAAAAAATAACCAAAAGATTCATCAGTTATGATTAATAGTCGTTACTTGTAGTCTCAGCAAGCGTCACACGTTAGGTTCTGCATGGTGACAATATCATTACAAACATCTCTGAACAGAGGATGGAGCCCAGATGACAGCCACACACACACAAATAATGTATTGTCCATTGTCGGCTCTCATGCCAAGAATAAAGCTGCTTTCTCCTTAACATCCCACCAACGTGGACAACAGGGCCTCTGCAACATCTGAGAGCCAGTCACACAGAAACCTGCAAGGGTCCACTCCGCCTCGCTGCAATACAAACACAGACGAGCCTGTCGGTTGCCTCAAGCTTGTTGTCGCAGCCCCACAGATGTGGAGGAGGGGGAGTTATAGAGGGAAGACCAGACATTTCTACTAGATTGACATTGATTTTCAGGTCTAAATAAAGAAGAAACTATTGAACTCCATTGTTCCTTAGATGTTAAAAAAAAAGAACGTTACCTGTCCACAGGAGAGTTGAAGCCGCTCGGGGGCCCTGAGTTGCCATGTTCTATGTTGTTGGAAACTGCAATACTCTGTGAACAGAAATGAGGGATGAGGTAAGGTAACCAAGTAAAAGGTCAATACTTTCCATTGACTTCTTTTTCTTCTGAAGCTTTAGTACAAGATAGTAGGCAGGAAACATTTTCCACATACTGAATTTTAAGTTTTTGAAGCATTTGATTTACTTCCAGTTACGTCAACACAAAATGTTTCATTTTTAACTATAAAAATCTTCAATTTGGCCATTTTAAATAGAAATAGGCATGTACATAGACATGGTTCCTACCCGGGGATGGCAGTGCTTTGGTCCAATCCAAATAACAACTTAAGTTTTGGATGGACTGCCATAAAATGTTTTAACTGATTTTGCGAGCCTCTGATTTTTCCTTTAGAGCCACCATGAGGTTGAAATTTGGGGTTTTGAGTGAAATGTCTCAACAACTGTTGGATGGATTGCCACAAAGTTTGGCTCAGACATTCACGCTCCCCTTTAGAATGAATTGCAATAGATTTGGTGATCCACCAACTTTTCATTTAGTGCCATAAACAATTAGAAATGTCAGTTTTTCCAATAATTTGCCTCAGCTGCTAGTTTGTGTTTAGTGCTAATAAGCAGATGTTAGAATGCTAAGACTGTTATTAATTAGTAGGTACACAAAATTAGGGGTGTCGGCACTGTGTTAGACTGAGTAATGCTGGCGAAGGAGGTCTCGTAAAAGTCTTGAAAGTCATCCTTTACGCCTCCACCCGTTTGCGCTCTCCACTTTGATAACAAGTTCTTTATTGAGGCCACTCACCGAGGGGAAGCGGAGGGCTGGGATGGGGAAACCGTTTGCAGTCGGTGTGTCGGTGTGTGTGGTGGGAGGGGTTGTGTTGAAGCTGCCGGCCTCCAGCGGATCCTGAAGCCCAGAGGAGCTCAGATAGCCGTCCGTCTCGCAGTCAGCTGTTTCAACAAAGGACACAAACCATTAGCATGTGACCCACTGTGGTCTGACTGACACAATCTGTACAGTACACACACTCATATGCATGGAAACACGCAGGCCTAGTGACCCCCCACAGACATACCACACACACTAACATAATAACAACTTAGAGGGTTTCACTGTGGAGATCCACAGGAGATGCTGGGCTGTTGTTTTGGTTAAAAACTGAGAAATGTTCAATAACTAGAGCACACGCGCCCACACCATGAGACTTACAGGGACTGAATAATTTAGTTATCCACAGTTTCACATTTCACTGTATGCCTCCCATGTGCTCTTAGATGTGAACGGCTTTCTGTTCAGTACACAGATAATGCAGTGAAAGACAATTGTCTCCAGAGTTTATGACGAGTTCTTGACTCCGATCACTTTTAAACTTTTACAATTACTGTAGCTAATTCAAATGTTACAGTACTTTAAATAAAATAATAAAAATAGGTCAAACCACCCACAACAGTATTTAAAGTATTTAGATTACCTCTACCATCACTGGTAGCTTCCTCTTACATGTAAATACATCTGTAATAATAATTCAATAATGTGATATTTATAACATAATGTAAAAGGAGCAATTCAACTTTTTATACTTTTTGTGCATTTTCCTGATAATTCTTCTGTATTTTATACTAAGTTTCATCGTCTCGTATTGCTAGTTTTATTTAAGTAAAGGATCTAGATACTAATAAATAATTTCAAGTGTATTATATTATACAAATACTTTATATTGTAAGACCTCACAATAATAATGCACTATTTTGCTGTTTTTTTTATATGGTATACGTCTTCAGGAGGTACTGTATGAGAAACATCCTTGTTTTGAAACTGATGATCGTTTTCATATTATCCACTTGGTGTTAAAAGTGTTTTATGAGCCTAAAAAGTTGCAAACTTGAACTGAAAACATGAAAATCACTGTGGGTGGACCCTACAAACTTTTCATTGTATTTGATTTCATATCAGGCCGCTCACAGTTAGCAGAGGACAAGCTGTTGTGGCGCATGTGGAAGTGTTGGTCTGCCTCTGGCTCCTCTGGCTCTGCAGGGTAGTTGGAGCTGACGCCAGAGTCCACAGAGCTGGTGACGGGGGACAGGACTGGGGCCGGAGGCGTCAGGGCCGGGGTGGGTGACTCTGCTGCAACAATGTCGCTGACTTTAGGTAAAGGAGTCTGAGGCTCTGGTTCTTCTTCTAAGGCTTCCTGCTCCTGCTTCTTCTTCCGCTCCTCTGCCTGCCGCCTCAGCTTCTCTCTCTGCCGCTTGATGGTCGCCACCCTGTCCCGTATGGCCTTGGCCACGAGCTTAAAGTCTGCCTCGCACACGAACCCAAGCACAACCTGCATAACAAGACACAGAGATGGTCAGGGCACAACATGAACACGTGTAGGAGTCATGGTCCATGAGTTGCTGCTGCAATTTGCATACAATTTACGCAGATCTGTTGCACTTAGTGACCTGATTACGCAGGTTGTGTGACAATCTTTCTTTTGATGTGACAAAAGCTTTTGTGCTAACAGCATTTGTTTTGTAAAACCAGGGCACACTGTTTGCATTCTCTGCCAATTTGGAGTCTTGCTCAGCCTCTTGTGACACCCAGTCCAGCAGAGTGGGACACTCAGTCCCAACCTGCCTCTCAACACATAATCAGATTACAGCAGATCTGCCAGACTAGATGTCCCCTGCTGATACCAAATTTGATCTTGATGAAAACTACCACAAAGAGGTAAACAAGTAAGGAATTGTGGCTTGCATTTTCATTAAAAGTGACCTCTACGGAGGGGGTTCTGGAGGACATAAGGGCCTGTTTCGTAACGAGCAGGAGAGCCATTATATTATTAAAGACGTGACCTCGGCTGCTTCCTGAGACACGCTCTCACATTTCGAACCCCTGTTGATTAAATGTTGAGCCGTGCCCTTGACACACTCTGCATGGCGTTCTCTTTATGGGCTGGAGCGCATTTCAGAGTGTGTGCTGTCATAACAGAACCGTAAAAGAAGCATAATGATGCCAGGGTGCATTAGTGAGGCTGCTTTCACTGTGTGGGGTCAAGTGTCAAACGACAGATAACTCATAGAGAAATGTCTGCTTCACTCATAATGTTAGACTCCATGATGTGATGTTTGCCTGTAATAAGGTCTCCGAATCTAACATCTGTATGTGCATTCAAAATGAACGCTCATTTAAAAAGATACCATCTGTCACCTAACCACCTTTTCTTCAAAGCATCTTTCTGTTGTGAGGGGGAATCTGGTGCTTATTTGTGTTAAGATCATTAAGGTCAATAACAACTCCATATCCAGTCCGCCGTCCCCCAGTAAACCCATTAAAAGCTATCATCATAAGTCAAGATCAGGATGCAGAGAGCATGTGGGGGTTGGCTGAAGTCGCCTTTATCTGTTGATCTGGGATCAATTACTCAATTTCCTCACTAATGGCTGCCTCAAACTGGGCCAGCAGAGCAGTAAAGGTTGACCTCAAAACACGCTGTCTTCGTGTGTCAGCCTACCATCTCCTGAGCCACCTCCTCAGGCACGTCTTTGTAGAGCTCAAAGAGGAACTCGATGGCGTTGTTGTCTTTGTACTTCCCGTGGAGCTTCTTGGTGTCGTCCATGCGCAGCCACAGCTTCAGACCCGACTTCACCGTGTCGTCCTCTTCTGCCAGCTCCACGTGCACGCCATTGTTCTCCTGGAAGAAGGGGTGTTCCAGGAGGTCCTGAATGGTGTACCTGCAGTAAAAGAAGAAAATCAGTCAGCTTTTAGACACTTAAAAGGTTGATTTGCATTTTTTTAAACACAGACCTTTTATTATCTATCCATAACAAATTAAACAGATAACTTTAGCTTTGAGAAACATATGTACATCTTGCAGCAGGTTTTAATTAACTTAACATGCACACCTAAAACGTGAAAAATACCACATTTCTAACTCTCCGTAGATGCAAAAAATTTGATATATAAATCTAATATATAGATTTTTTTGCTGAGTTATAAGCTCGAATCTAGATTGTTACTTTACAGAACAGAGCAAAAAACAAAAAAACAGACATATGGAATAGGGATTAGTGCACTTCATAAAGATCAGTTTAAGTTTGTTATTTTTTTATTTGTTGATCACAATGTATGTTTTCACTTGTACCTTTCATCATTGTTCATGCGAATGCAGCCCTCAATGATCTCCTTCAGCTCTGGGACTTTGACTTTGTAGAAACTGTCAGGTTTAATTCCCTGTGAAAACAATCAGAAGAGTTTTACTTCATCTGTAGGGCTTTATAATGTCCCAACAACTACCAGAGGGGGTGCTTTAAGCAAGAATAAGTAATCAAAAAGCAATGATCTCTTCCTTGTACATTTATCCCACAGCAGTAACAGCCACTACCACCTGCAGTGCGTGTTAACATAATCCTGTGCTTTGTGACTGCTGCCACTAGCCAGCATGACATTCAGCTCTGCGATCATGTCAACACCAGAGGAGAACAACACCAAGAGCTTGTGAAAATGGAAAAAACCCAAGATGCCAATCCTTGAAGAGTTTTTAACTCCCGACAGCTGGAGCTTCTCTGCAGAGTTTATCTCATAACAGCAAATATTCATGCAGGACTTCATGCTTATTTGAAATAAGGGAGTTTTTCTAAATGCTATCATGAGAATGTACATAGATTACAGCAGAGCTCCCAGCCCAATAAAAACACTGATAAGAAGGCAAAGAGTCGAGGTCAAAAAGATGTTTGGCCTGCAGATACCCAAGCAACCAGCTGATGTTAGGTCAAAACACTCAAATAATTAGATTTACCAGAAAAAGGCTGAGAGATACACTTTGTTATCACATTCAAACTGACATGTCACACAGTAGCTGCAGTCTTTTTTTTGTTATGACCATAAATAATTTACTCAAGATATTTCTACTTCCTGTTTAAAGGAGAGCTGTGAGAAAGTAGAGAGGAGAACGTGTGTTATTTTTCTAAACAGTAAGTGTGTTTGACTTACGTTTGAACAGAATGAATACTGATTTGTAACATAATCATTTCAGTCCAAAAAAGCTTCAGTGCAATTACTGAAATGCTGTTATGTTATATATGAAATGTGATTTAAAGGACCTTAAGCAGAGCACAGAGGTTTCCTTGTTTAAGCAGTTTGCTTTATTGTCCTTACTGGAACCCTTTTAATCAGTTTTCCCTCAATTCAAATCTAATTTGAGTCTCTGCTCATTTCCTGTGGTAACAGAAGTCCAGATAAGATCTTGAATGATCCCGAAACAATTATTTTGCATAAACATAAGAAAGGTTATGTCTTACAAGCAAAATCTGGTATACTCTGCCATATATTTCCATTCACTGAGGAATATATATTATATGGACAAAAACATACAGACACCCCTGGACGAACACTTTAACATACTTTTGGTCTGGGGCTATTTAAGAGTAATCCTAATGCTACAGCATATAGTGATATTTTAGACAACAGTATGCTTACAACTTTTTGGTAACAGTTTGATGAAGGTCCTTTCCTGTTTTAATTCACAACAAACACATTTCCAGTCATCTTTAAAGGAAAAATGCCAAAATGCGCTGATTCCAGCTTCTCAAATATCATATTTGATGGTTGGTCTGACAAAACAAGAGATTTCAACATGCAAATTTGGGCTTTTTGTACATGTTTCGTGCAGATGAGCACTTACAGAAGCCTGCAGGCTGATATAGCAGCAGATTAATGCCCATGGTTTTAGAATGAGTTGCTCAATAATCACATGTAGGTGTAATGTTTGGGTGTCCACAAACTTTTGCCCAAGTAGAGTATAAGAGAGGGCATTTGTCCACAGTAAGTAGGCATTCATTTACGTATGAGTCTATTTATTTGATGTAAAATAAAACACATTAAGAGCAAGGCCAAAAAAGAGTCTGTTGTGACCACCCACATGGAAAATATTTCCAAGAGCCCTACAATATTTGTATATGTTCTGTCTTTCATACGTCAAGCTATATTTCTTACTCTAAGCCCCTTAAATGCCAAGTCAAGGCAGTCATATATGTTATAAGTTACATAAAGTTTATAGGTTAGTGTTTAATTCAATATTTAACTGCCATGCCAATAAATTGACACATGTTGTCTGTACTGCACATAAACGTAAAACAAATCACGAAAGGCACTGCTAATATAATTTTAATTACATTTTGTTGCTTGGGTAAGCTTCTCCGACTGCACATGGAACATTATTATGTTGTCTTGTTTATGGAGGAGCCAGACCCACTCTGCCTTGTTGGCATTGCCGCTTTCTCACTTTCCAGCCTCCATCAGACACTGTTTGCTTTGCATATGTGACACGCGAGAAAGAAACAGCTCTCTTTGTGAAGTAAAGAGTGAGACACAATTTCCAAAACATATAATTCTACCACCACCTCCTCTTGCCCACCATGGCGTCATTCGCTGTGCTTGGCATCTGGGAACAGCTTGAAATACGGCAGACTAAATCCACTACTGTAATGCCAGAGTCTTAACTCACTACACTGCTTCTGGTCTTTTTTTTCTGAGAAGTCCCACATTTTTTGTCTTTTTAACATTATGATATGAATCCAACAGTTTACATCCTGTAGGTGGGCACTGGGGCTGGGATTCAAGCTCTCTTCTTCATTTGACAACTTCTAATGCTAGAAAAATAGTTCATTTTCAAATGCATCTGTGCCTTCTTGAATAGAAAGTCTGCAAAGCACTTCAGACAGAACATTTGCAAATGCCAGTGTCAATAGGTTAGGCATATTCCAGTGAACATGATAGCCAGAACCAGTTATACAGGATCTTTGAACTAGTAAATCCTCTGCGTCATGATTGTGGTCTGACAACAGAAAAGCCAGCAGGTTATGGTATGTTTCTACACCCTGAGCTTGTAATGGACAAAACTGAGCCTTTAATAGACAAAATGCGGCTTTCATTTCATGTGGGCCCCACTTCTTTCCAAGGATGCAGGATATCCAGACTTACACACAAGATATCCTAGTTCCTCTCTGTTTAATTCCAGTGTTCACATGGAAGAAAGCGAACACATGTGGACAATTACATTAAATAGGGGTCCTCCTCCTTCCTTTACTCACACTGGTGACTTTGCGGTAGATCTGGGCAGCATTTTGGCACTCGGAGTACGGGTACTCAGAGGTGGCCATTTCCAGGATGCACATTCCAAAGGCATAGACGTCCACCGCTTCGTCGTACTTCTCCTCGTACATCTCAGGGGCCATGAACTCTGGTGTTCCTGTCAGAGGGCATGCGTAAAGGCAATCAAACAATTTGTGTGTCGCAAAGCAGACCAAAAAAAAAGAAATGCTAAAAGCTTTAAATTAATCCAAATGAAGAGCTTTTTTCCCCCACATCTTCTCCATGTGGATAACTCACATCTTTCAAAAGTAAATAACCAACTCAGTCCTTATTCATTCTTTATGTCTGAAAATCATTTTGGGTCTTTATTGTACAATGCAGAAAATGTAACTTTCAGCAAGAATCAAGTATCAACAAGTCTTTATACTGATGGCTGACACTCCTTGCATGTTCTTGATGGGAAGGGCAAGTTCCCACTGACATTAAAAGCAATTTGAGTTATGATGCCACATTTAAAAATAGAGCCAAGAAATATAACACAGGCATCAATGGTTGCTTCTGTTCAGTGATCCATGCAGGAGAAATTGGAAGCAAAATAATTCAAGCAAAGGCTTAATTTCAAGATTTTACATCGTTAGATTTCAACATCAGTTGAAGGAGATATTTGTGTGAAGACTTACCAATGACACTTTTAGCAAAAGAGGCACTTTTGAGAGTGGCCAGCCCGAGATCTCCTATCTTGACAGAGCCGGTAGGGCCAGTGATGAAAATGTTGTCACACTTGAGGTCCCGGTGGATGATGGGAGGAGTGCGCGTGTGCAGGAAGTGAAGCCCTTTGAGGATCTGACGACTCCAGCGCTGCAGCAGCTTCAGCTTCATCTCCTTGAACCTCTTCAAGTACCTAAAACAAAGAAGGACAAGACTAAACACCCCATTCTAAACATATCAAAATACTGGAAGAAGAGAAAGAGCTACAAAATAATTAATCTCTTATTTTGGCAGCAAAGAGGAAGTTTAAAAGTCTCCAAGAACATTGTATCCAGAGTGGAGCTATTCTCTGATTTTATTCTGCACCTTTTCATTCCTTTAAAAGCAAAAGACAAGCTGTCAAACATGACACAAAAACCCTCTTTTTTATGGAAGACCTGAAGAGCTTTTTATTTGGAAAAAGGATATCCGCCGTTTGAGAAACACGTTCTTACAAAAAGATCGAATGAAAAACTTTTTTAGACACGATTTCTATCTTTTAATAAAAAGTGTAAGTGAAAGGGGAACCTGGTGGAGAAGACTCACGTTTTGAGCGTGCCTGAGGTCATGAGTTCGGTCACCAGGATGATGCACTTGTGGCCCTTAACCGTTGACTTCCAGGAGTCGTGAAAGCGGACGATGTTTGGGTGCTGCAGGCCCTTCAGCATCTCCACCTCCTCACTGAAACGCTGTCGCTCTGCCTTGGTCAGCTTACGGGTCTGCAGAGAAAATCGCACGGTTAAGAGTATGTTTACATGCACAGTAGCATCCTTATGATCATATTCAGGATATTTACATGACACATGAGAAACCAGCTTATTCAGCTTTCTGTATACATGATTCTGATATTGCAGGTGTGTCTTTGTTCTGCATCTTAACAACTATGTAATTTCAGTAAAGAGCAGGATAATCAGATTTCGTTTCACTTTATTAATTCAACCTGCCACCATATCCATGTGTGTTTTTTTTATTTTTCATGATGATTGCAGAATTATGCTGATTTAAGAGTTCTTATTTTGGTAATTTGACTTAAAACAACTTGTACAGCTGCATCTATTTTATCCATCCTTACAACCATTATTCTGTCCATATTTCTTTGAGGATGAATATCTGGCTCTGGAACAAGAATATGACATCTGTCATTGGCTCAGTTGTTTCTTGAACTCGGGAAAACAGCCATCAATAAGGACAAGACATACGTCTGGAACTAAGCTAGAAATTCGCAATTTGGCTGCATTTACTGCTCCACTGGCTTTATCACCGGTAATAAAAGAAGAGAGCGTCAGACTTTCACTTTTTTCCAGCGTGTAGATCATCATTAAATAGTCCATTGTCAAATATTTTGATCTACTGGCTTTCTTGTTTCAGCTCGGATTGAGGAAGCACCTGCACACATAGCAGAGAATGATCAGAAATAAATCCACAGTATCCCAGTTTCTGAAAAGGTAGCGTATTCAGATTTCTAAAAATAGTGGTGTACGCAAAAAACCTGATCACAACCGGGATAAAAGTGTAAACGCACTCCAGAACAGCTAATAAATCGACCTTGAGGCGGTTTTGTTTCCAAGGTCAGGATTATTGATTGAAGTTTAAACCAATATGGACGGGAAGTCCTTAAAGAAATTTAAACATCTACAATTTACAACTTGACAAACTGCATCTGTTGATGAAGGTCATAGGGTATGATTGAAAGCTCCACTGTGACTAAATGGACCTTGAGTTGAGTTTGTTTTGTCAACTATAAAAATGCAGTAGTGTTGACAGTTGAGTTGTAGAGCTCTGGTTACGTAAGTAGGTAGCAATAAACACAGCATACAAATCCACGGGACCAACCTGATAAATCACTGTTACTTTAACTAATGAGCCCGCTGCGGGACTGGAAACCACAGGTTCATCCATCTGGGTGACCCTCCGATTACATAATCACATCTATTTTCCAATAAGGGGAGCTCTGACTTTACAAATTTAAGGAGGAGGTGTCCAAAAATCCATGTAAAACTGAACCAAACACTGCAATCACGCTGGATGAACAAAGACATTTTTGTGCTTCCTCTAGGATGAATGGCCCAATTTAGGTGCTGTTGGAGTAACTCTGCCTGTGGTTGGTGGTTAGTGGAAAACTCCTGGGAGACCTCAGTACCATGAATCCTGCATTGAGGCAGATTTCTGGGAAAATTGCTCTGCATATGTTTATGCTTACAATCAACTTGACCACTACTCTCTCTCCTTCCTCTTTGCCTTTTCCCAGTAAGCGATGAGGTGCTAACGCTGCTAATGCTAAGCTTCTGCATCAACACAGGAGGCAGACTGTTTGAAGATATACGGGCGTCTGTAGTCACACAACGCAAGAGCCCTTTTACCTGCGTCAGTCACCTGTCAAACTGTCATATTGCACAAGCAACTCAAACATGAGGCCCTGGGCTCAAAAGCGAGACACAGAGGCGTCTACTGACCAAGTGGTTGGCTTTAAGGTCGATAGTGATCAGTCTATGATGTGAACACAGGCTACAGCTTATTCCTCATATGTAAGACTTCTGTCAGAAAAAAACATCTTGGGTTTAGAGGACAAGTAATGATTATTAACGCACATCAATTTAGATCATACAAATGTCCAGAAGTCTTCTGAATGAGTCAGTTCCACTTTAATCTAATTTGTGCTTCATATACTCTATTTAGTTTTAAGAACCTTAAAGACAACAAATTACAGACATGGTCATAGAGGTTTATTCACACTGTAGATCACTGTATCCTGAAAAGCATGCAGTTTGTACATGAGTCAGGGTGAATGAGTCAGTGGGTTTATGGGTTGATGTGCATCTGGATATTTATGTATTTAAGCGCGATAACATCAAACCCCTGCGCAGCAAGCTTTGTCTCCTGTGGATAGTCGCCTGTTTGCAGCCAGAGTCAGTGTAACGTGATTTTACTGGAGCTGTGGCATGCGGCCGAGCCACTCGGAGATCCTGACACTTGCAAAACCGCAGGGTTTACTAGAGCTTGGCATGCTGGATGGCATGATTGCACAATACTGAAATGCAAAACGCACATTTGGCAATTTCAGAGGAGCTCTTACGGAAAACCAAAATCCTGTTGTGGCAACTCTGATCAAGACAGTTCATAAAATGTGAGCTGTTGAAGAAAATGGAGCTGATAATGGGTGCTTCTTTCATGTGACTCAAAACCTCCACACTGATGGATAGTTATTTTAAAATGTCCACAAAAACCATGTCAAATGCAGTGGAAAATGAAATACAGATGGAAACAACAAAGCACAAATATGAGCTGTGTTCACACTGCAATGGTGTCATCTGATTGCATTGTTATTGGTGCTGGGTAATTTCAGGGTAACATAAGGCCTCCTCCCAGTACACATACGCACTCAAGCCGTGACTAAGAGCAGAAATGAACTGTACAGTCAGTTCGAAGAGACTTTTTTAGAGACCGATTCATTAGGGAAAAGTCTAATAAACACAATTTCTTTGGCTATTACAGATAACTATAATGTGTTTCAATTAGACTCAAAGATATCTATCTTTAGTCAGAAGTCGTCTAGCATTTCCCAAAGAAGGGATCCTCTGTTGACAGCTGTGCAATGCTTCTATCTAACTTTTCCATGGGATATTTGACTTCATCTTTCAGCCCCGACCTCTCTCTCGTCCCCCTCCTCTCTGTGAAAAATGAGGCCAAAAAGCGTTGCGTAACACTGGAGAAAGCGATGCAGGGGGGAGCAACAAAAACAAACCTTCTTGATTTTGAAAAGACAAGTGGGTATATCCATAAAAACAGTCTAGATAAAGAGGTGTGTGAAGGAGCCTCTACTAAAAGTTTCTTATCCTCTCTCTTCCAGCTGGATGTTTTATTCTTAGCTGCTGGGAGGTGTGTATGTGTGTGTGTGTGTGTGTGTGTGTGTGTGTGTGTGTGTGTGTGTGTGTGTGTGTGTGTGTGTGTGTGTGTGTGAGTTGGGGGTCTGCAATAGCTGGGGTTGGAAATACTTGGGCTTGGTGCCACATAAGTGGAGTTACATAAGCAGTGTTGATGGTAGAGGAGCCACCGGTATTAAGAAGTCCCTGTCAGCGCCCCTATTATGACAACCAGGACATGAACACATGCCGTGTGTCGGCCAACATTTGCACCAAACCAGGTGCTTTACACTGCCACTTAATACAGAAATGAAGAAGTTCGCAGTGTCCTGATGTTGCACTCACACAGATACAGTTAAGTCTGACCAGGATTTGAGTAATATCCAGCCACTGTGGTATCTGTAGGAATCTTGACTAAATACAGAGAGAAAAGTAGGGCAAGTGAAAAAATGGATTCAGTCTTTCTACTTATAGCCTCCAGCGATGTGTGCTAAGGTTAGAAGCAGGGGTTTTAATACATTTTTTTAATATCCATGTATTGAATACTTGGATCTGCAATCGGAATTATTTAAGTATAGTGCTGAAATTCATCATTTAATGGATAAGTCGACTGACAGAAAATTACGCAACAATTTGGACTAGATTTGATTATTTATTTTGATTATATTTATCATTTATATAGTATAAGGTTGGTGTTACTCCTATATGTTTCTCCTATTGTCAATAAATACCACAAAAACACCAAAACCAACAATGTGTTCGTTGTGCGTCTCTCATTAGTTTCCCCATCCTGTTTGTGGCATTAACTCCCAAGCCCATTCCATACTGAAGATAGAAATCTTTAAAAAAAACAGGTCGCAAATATGTCATTTTTTGAAAGACTTAACAAACATTATGTAAACAGGAGTAAGTAGTGCAGTTGGACTATTTTCAGCAGCGGATTAACACAGTTTTCGTGCTCCAGTGAGTATTTATACGGCAGTAGGACGGCAGTGTATGTGGGATTGAGTCAAAATAAACTACAGTGCCCACGTTTGTTGTAATTAAGGCACATGTCACCCAGTGCAACAGTGGAGCTCATTTATGTGGTTTTAATAGCTTTTTTTTTTCATGGAATTTGTTGACAATAAGAAAGACATAAAATATTGCATTGAAAAGAAGAAAGTTATCTTGGGCTTTGGGAAATTGTGCTATTTACCACCATTTTCTTACCTATAATAGACTAACAATCAACTGATCAGTAGACAAAATAAGGGAATGATTAACTGATCTGATCAAGACAACAATTTGTTAGGTACAGCCCTAGAAAAGCAGCTGTTAATAATAGCTACAGTACAATATGTATCAGTAATAATACATGAAAGATCAAGTCCTATCTTTTTGTTTGATTCCAGAAATAATCAAATTCATCTGACATTTCCATCTACCTTGACCTCTGTTTGAACCCTTTTAGGGACTAAAAGTAAAGCATCCCCTCTTCTTCCTGTCATTAACTTATTATTCAAAGCACTGTTAACAGGCCATAACTCCTGTGCTCCAGATGCCGACAGTGAGGAGCCCTGCAGATAAAGACCAGAGTTCACAGAGACCGTTTGATGACAGAGTAGGCAGGAGGGAACCTGCACGGCTTCCGAAGGCGGTGACGACTTGCTTCGCCAAACTCTGGGATTGAGGTCAAAGGCAAAGAGACAGAAAAAAAAAAAAAAAAAAACATCTGACCTCACGCCTCAGAGACGAACATTCCCGCCTTGACTGACATACACTTCGTATGAACACGCACGTAGGCTCTCACACTGGTACAGTGTTGCATTTAGATGTTTGCAGGTGAGAACTGAGGTGGCAGTGTGCTCTTTCCAAGG